TTTTTTTTGAGCTCCTTTTTCCGCCTAGGGTTTAGGGGTTTAGGGTTTAGGGTTTAGGGTTCTAAGTTCTAACTCTAAATTCTGAACTCCCAACTCGCGACTCTGCCTGGACCTACCCACCCCATTAGTCCTCTAATGAGTCCCTAGCCCCCCAGGTACCTACTATATAGGGTACTAGGGCCCCTAGGGCCCGATATAGTAGGTACCTGGGGGGTTAGGGAGTCTTATATAGAAGTACAGCCCAGAGAACTGCGCTCAAGTCTACATGAAGCAGCTAGCTTTAGCTCACACCCCCTGCACGTCCAAATGCCAATGAATATCCACTGGAGTCAGCGATAACAAGTACATGTGGATTGGTACTTAAAGGATTGCGCATCGGTCTGGCTAATACATGTGCACCCCGAGCTTGCAAGCCATGTAGGGTTTCGCATAACCAGAAACAGTATATACCTCTATAGTTTTGATACAATATAGACACGAATTACTATATATATATATATATACATACACATATATTTATATATCTATCTATCTATCTATCTATCTATCTATCTATCTGTACATACACCCGACGAAACAAAAAACACACTGCTAAAATTTTTGGAGCCCCTTTAGCAATCGACAGCCATGCAAAGCAAAGAGCCGAATCCCTCTCCACGGCAATAGCTCCCTTGCCTTCCCCCGCCTGGCGAACAGGGAGGGTCGGTTTAGGGTTTAGGGTTTAGGGTTTAGGGTTTAGGGTCTGCGACCCGCCCAGATGAGCAACAGGGGGGTTTAGGGTTTAGGGGTTTAGGCATTAGGGCTTCAGGGTTTAGGGCCCTAACGCGAACCCGTTATCCCCAAAATGCCCTAAACCCACTAGCATAACTGCAAGTACCCCGTGCCCTCGGAATTTCGGAAGGCTTTTTGAGTTTGTCGGGTCACAGGGGGCATTAATCACCAGGATAGAGTTTTAGGGTATGTTGCAGTTTCGCTGTATAGGGACCATACCAAGTCAACCTTTACATTAGTTGTCCTGTAGTTGGACGGTCAATGCCAGAATCGAAAATGGACTCGCAGTGAGTTTCTGCTAATTCTGGCGGCATCGCTCTGAGAGCACAACAGGGCGCCAAGGCCAAAAACCCTCACCACGATTGCCTTATGCAGCACTTGCCC